ACGTCTGAAAGGGCGAGCATGTTTGGTGGGATGGGGATGCGAACCCGCGACCCGCAGATTGCGAGTCGAGTGCCTTAACCACCTGGCCATGCCGGGCCTCATTGTTAGTCTTTGTTTTTAGAATGTGAAAATGTTTTGGAACTACTTCTAATTATACTATATGAGAAGCTATTTATTTTCAAATGACATATAATGAAAGTACAGACAAATGAAGTTAAATTACATTACCTGCTTCCATTTTTGTTCTTAATAATCCTTGAACATTATTAGCAAACAAAGGGTTATGGCCACTTGCTGAAGGATTTGCTGTTGCTTCATCATCAGATGTTGAGTTACTAATAAATACAGTTAGTTATACTTGAAAACAAACTCTGTACAAGTACCAAATGTTAAACACACTTTGTAGCTGTTGCTTCATCATTATATGTTGAATTGCTAAGAAATACAGTTAGTTGTATCTTAAAACAAACTTTGCACAAGTACCAAATATTAACTGCACATTATAAGAACAATGTTCCAAGTCCCTTTATGCCTCAGTCTGATAGCCACAATTACATACTATTGTCCCGGTCCTTTTGTGTGTCAGTCTGATGGTCATGATTACATACTACTGTCCAAGTCCCTTCATGTCTCAGTCTGTCTGTCACAATTATATTCTACTGGCCAACATCCAATTTTAATTGTATCAAGTTTTCTGCAAAGGATAACAAGGTAAATCTTAGATCCCATATATTCCACAGGCTCATCACTCTATATTAATATGACAACCAAGACTACATTAAATCACATCACATCCACTAAAGGCCACAGAACATGCATCAGGAGACTATGGCAGTTTGAGGTCAAATAGAAATGGTTTGATTTCAGTTTCTTTTGTTTTCTAACTTGGGGAAATAGCCCTTATTTTGAGGTGTGGTTTTCATAATTTTAAACCATTATTAATTATACTATTAGCAGAACCAGGAGATACACCCAACTTCATTGCAATGGCTCTATGGATCAGGGGATTCTTTTTCTAAGCTAAAGCCTTCATTCTAATTCTCCAGATTGGTTGAGATTGTGACTGCACAAATGATTTATTGTACAAGTTTTGCACTTCTGGGGGAACACTTAAGACTTCCTTCATCAAAATGCTGTGTTTTTTGGATTTGGACCAACATCATTTAATAATCATTCTGTACTAATACTTGTCTTCAAAAAGAGCTGTGACATATGCTCAGAATGTAAACATAAAAGGTGGCATTGCACTGTCAGATTATCAGAAACTTGAGATGGACCAAATTCATAAGTTCTAAGAATATTGGCTATGACACCAAGGCTCACAACTACAACAACAAACCAATTTATTAACAAGTACAACTCTTTGTTATAAACAGTGATTAACAATTAATCTGTATTTTTCACAACCTGTTATTTTATTACAGCTTTTTCAATCCTTAAATTCTACACATAATCCTACAAATGAAACTCATAAACCAAAATTTACAAAATCCAAGTTGCATATATATTCATGCAATATTTTTTGTTTTAAGTTTAAATGTTCATACCACTCTCAGTTTTGTTTATTGGCTACTAAAACGTTTATATTATTCTTACCACTCTGTCTTGTGATTTCTAGATTCTTATATAATTCCCAGAGTTCTATCTTGTAGCTACTAAAATTTCTGTGTAATTCTCAGAATTTTTGTCTTTATTCCATTGCAATTATTATATTATTCTAAGTTTTTGTCTTGTAGCTACTATGTTTATTATAATACTGTGAAACTAAAAGTTCTTATACTATTCTCAGAGAGCTTCTATGATTAATTTACCATTCAACATTATACTGATTTAGGCCTAATGTGTTACTTACTGAGCAAAGATAGCTGCATCACCACAAGGAGCTGTAGAAACATACAAATGAAAAGTAATGTTTGGTTTTATTTGGAGTTTCTCATCAAATGCAGCAGGTTCAATAATGGTGTCTTGTTTTCCTGAATAGTAATCCATCAGTTGTTGGTAGAGAAACCTACAAGTATTTCTAGTCATGAATTGTATCCTAGATTATTTTACACAAAAGAACACTACAGTAACTTGTATGTTGTAAGTCAACAATTGTTCAAATCTTGGAATAAAAACATGTACCATTAGTATATAAATAAGTATATATTTGAAGAAAGAAAAAGGTATCATAAGCTTGGGCAGTGACCATTCTGAGAAAGGATGAAGTCCCAGTATTGTTCTGTAATTATGAGCAGTCAGCTTTCCAGCTTCCATGTGGAATGTTCATTATAATAGCAGGTGAAATGGAGGTAACTGAAACTGATGATATTGCTAATGTTGCTTCTGACACAACATGTCCAAATGTAAGCACTCGGCTGCTGACTCATCGGAGGTCGCTGGTTAAGGATTGTTGAAGTAATCTTAATTCAATATACTAGCAGAAACTCTGTAACCTCTTCATTAACTATGCCAATGTTTTTTAGGACCAGATAGCCTACTCAGTCAAACAAAACTCACACATCTTGCAATAAAGATTTGTTCAAGTTTGCAGACATTTCAAATATTTTCTTGCAGCCTACTCAGTCAAACAAAACTCACACATCTTGCAATAAAGATTTGTTCAAGTTTGCAGACATTTCAAATATTTTCTTGCAGCCTACTCAGTCAAACAAAACTCACACATCTTGCAATAAAGATTTGTTCAAGTTTGCAGACATTTCAAATATTTTCTTGCAGCCAATTATGGGCTTTAGAGTTTTACTGAATATCACAACCTCTTCTAAACTATCATGTCAACAAATTAATTTTTTAACTGATTATTTATGTTAATAAAGAACCAGTACTTCATTGTAATCACCATTAGTTTTACCTCACATTAATTTCATATTCTAACTATAGTGTATAGTATAATGATACATCTTTATTTATATTAGTTTTCTGTAAATTTTCACCACTTTGTTACTTCCTTTTCTAAACATTACTATCTTATTATTAGTGTGAACCTTTCTGTCATGTATATTGTAGGCAGGCTCATACATAATTTTTCTTAATTACCTAGTATAGTTATCTCTTTTAAAGAACAAAGGAATTTTTCAAAATTTTACTGTATGCACAGTTCCAGACATGTGTATAGTTTTAATAATGGCATCTTGTTAAAAGATGTTGGCTAATCTTCTTCCATTATAGTTGCCTGTTGTTTCCAATCATTCCACATTAGTGTTACATGCAATTGATCTGGAAGTGAAGACGCTGTTCTGAGAGTAAGTAGTTCTCTCAATCTTAGCATATTTTAGGCCAAAGTTCATATGGTAGTTCATAATTGGACATCAGCCAAAATAAGTGATAATTTTACCACAGTGTAAAAACAGACTGTTGGCTAGAATATATCTATATTTATTATTATTATTTCTATTTTAATCTTATGTTTATTATCTAATTATTCTACATTGTTAGCTTCATATGTTGATTTTTGGATTATCCTAAAACTCCTAGGCTGACTGAACCTTGAGAGATATTATTGGGATTACGGCCACAAATATTGTTAACAGTTAGGTTACCCAATTGATGAAACAATGTATTCTAGTCTTTATAACAGTATAGTTTGAACATTATATTTAATTGGTTAGGTTCATTACTATGTTTAATTCTAATCTATGTAGGTAGCTGTGTTTGATCAGAAGTCAATATTAAGAACAGAGGGAATACAAGTCCAATTTAACAATGTTCATCACAGGCTTCCCTGGAGCACTAGGGATGTAGCCAGTGCTGAAATACAATTGATGTTAAAAGGCCTATTTTATATACATATATATATGAAATTTAGAGAAAACAGCACAGAGAATACCTTAAAAAGAGTCAAACAACACAAAAAAAACAAAAGCTTCACATAAAAAGCTGACTGGCTGAGATAAACACAGAGGTATATAAATGAGGTATTAAACTATACCACATTTACAAAAAAAGCCTACTAAATTTGTTTCAATTTTTATAATTTTCCAGTCATTTTTACCAAACAGAAAAACTGAAACTACTCTTTATTCATGTAAAAAACTTTTTCTGGCCACTCAAACATTCTCTAATATATTAAAGCACTGCTTATTGTTAATAGGCCTGTAAAAATGTCAGCACAGCGAAGAAATATAATAGGTTCTACTGAGCTTCAAACTCTGTTATAGGGTGTAAAATTTGGTTTAAAGGCTTTATTACATTAGTTAACAATAATCACTTGCCTAAAAATGTTGAAGGTAAAAAACAAACATGCTGGTGGGAAAAGACAACACAAAAGAGTTAAATTAGAAAGTTGGTGTATCCAAGACAAATAAGCAAAATTAAAGATATCAAATGTACAAAAAATGTTTGAGGTGTCATAAATAAATTTAAATAAAGCTTGAAACTTTGTCAATTCACCCAGAAAAAACAAAACAAAGATGGTTATGGCTCTTTAAAACTAGGACTACTTTCTCTCTTTTTTTTTTCCTACTATTATTTTTATTTGTTTATAAAGCCTCAAAACTTGTTTGGTCAGTTTGAGATCTTGGTTTTGTTTATTTGTACTGGACATCACCTTCCTGGTTTAATTTGCTTGTACCACCAGTAAGTCTTCGTGCATTCTAAAAAACAAAGTGAATTAATTGAAATCAAAGTTTTTACCTTGTGTACACTTAGACTATGATAATATCATTGATGTACCTCAAGAAACTTCTTCTGGTGATTACTTCAGCATGAGAATCATTTAGGACTGTACCGTCTTGTCTAATGTGCTCTCCAGATATGCATCTGTTACCTACAGAGTAATAATGAACAAACTTACTTGAATAATGTTCAATGTATGTTTAAATTAAGAACACATCTGTCAAAATAATAAAAAAAATTACATTTTCATACAAGCTCTGTTTTTATACACCAGAGGTCTCCAAACTATGGCCCGCGACTTCGGTTTATCTGGCCCGCCAACAGTTTATTAAAGTAATAATACAATTTTTTATATTATAAAACAAAAAATAAAACGTAATTGAGCAAAAGCCAATTTGATCATGTATGCATCCCTACTTAATTCTACTACAACCCCTCCGTCCCGCGAAGCCTAAAAAGGTCTACCTTCCGGCCCTTGTCCAAAAAGGTTTGGAGACCCCTGTCATACACTACAAAATAAACCTTACAGCACATGGACAGATACATACAACAACAAACTAGACAAGCTAAATTACTCTCTAAAATTAATTAAATAATTGTTATCAAAGAACACTTGTTTCTATGTAACTGGATTCATCTTTTATTTTGTACTTAAACAAAGGATTTGCATTTGCCTGGTGAATCAATACTAATCCTCCTTAATCCAGAAATAATAAACACTAATCTTCTTTAATCCAGGAATAATAAATACTAATCCAAGCCACCATTTTTAAGGAGCAAGATTGTGCTCCTTCTCACTTCTTAACTTTGTCCAATGAGCATAAATAACAGTGCTTCTTAAAATTCTAAGAGTGAATTTAAAGAAAAAATACTGTAATCAGCATGGCAAATATAAGGATTCCATTTGCTTTGATCATGTAGCAAACTTACTTTCAAGTTGACATGATTCTATGATGTGCGTGAGAATCGATGTACTTCAAGATAAATTGGAGATCGACAGACTGCTCTAATTGGTCAGTATAATGTGTTCAACTAGAAAAGAGCCAATTAGTATCAATCTTACATGAACGATCACCGTGAAAAAGCAGGTGTAACATACAATTTATTTCATCATAAAATGTAACCCCTACACATGAGGCCAACCAACATCATACATAGATGCAGTTTTCCTGTTCAGTTGTTTCTGAGCAACGAGATACCTTTTGGTAGTGTTGGATGGAAAGTTGTATTTTTTGTGTGGTTTTCTTTTTTGGTGATTAGAATGAATATCAAAGATGTCATCAATGAGTACTATGAAAACAAATTTTTGTTCTGTGAAGAGTAATTTGCTCTTCTTAGTAATACAACGAAAACAATTTACAGCTCTCTTTGTATTTATTAAAATTAAGGACTGCTAATCCTCTTTAATGAAGGAATAATAAAGAGCACTGTTTAATAGATATTTAGACCCTGTAGCATAAAACATTATTTAAGAATTGTTGACAAGAAATTAAACGTAAATATACTGAAACCACAAGCTTAAATAAACCTTTTTCATGAAATGAGATATGTGAGTCAACTTGTATCATTTTGTCTCACCAGCTTAAGGCAGGTAAAACAAACTACAGCAAGATGCTGAAGTTGTTAGTGGAATTATTTTAAAGCTTAGACTGAGAGTATATTATTAATCATCCTAGAAAACACTTACTCAATATTTGTTTTTTTTAACTAAAGATATTTTATATGAGTAACTGTAATTTATTTAAATTTAGAAAATTTAAGCATTTAAAAAATATATGTTGTTAAGAGTTCAAAATATTTGGAACATTAACACCTTACTCAACTCTACATTTCAAATCTATATCTGAGTTTGTTTCATGTTTGTGATAAACAATATCAGTAAAGGTGTGTTTTGTTTGTTTGAGGTTCCATGCAAAGCTATACAAAGGCTATCAGTACATAGTCATTCCTAATTCTGAACTGATAGACTAGAAGAAAGACAACAACAGCCATAATTGTTTGATTCAGCAGTGGAATTTGACTATCACTTTTATAACACACCCATGGCCCTAAAGTGTAAAGCACATTTTGTGTCAATAGTTCAAGCCTGGCCTTCTGAACAAAGAAATCTAATCACATTTACAGAACAACTGAAAAAATGCAAACTTAACATTGGAGTAGTTATTATGTGAACAATTCCTTATCATTTTATCAGTCATACTTTGCTCCCTCAAACCATATACATAAAAACAAAAACAGTATGTTCTACTTTTATTTTTTAAGTTAAACAAATAAAGACAATATGTATGACCAGTTAGAATGCAATTCTTAAATATATAATGAAAAAAGTTTTAGAAATTTAGGTCTAAGGTGCTTTACTAACTATTGATATAAATAAGTGCTGCAAAATAAAATTAAATAAATTAATGTGGCACTTGTGCACATATATATATATATATACACATTTCAATGGAGTGCAATGTTAAAATAATTGCAAAATAAATAATTCATTAAAATCAGGGGCTCCTGGAGATTATGGTGTAGAACACCAAAACATGTAGTCTTTTTTTTGTTGGCTGGTCCCTGTTTTTAATAAATTATTTATTGGTCAATTATTTAATGTTGTACTCCTTTTAATTGAAAGGTAAAACTATGCTTAGATTCTCAGTAAACCAAGAGGTGCATGATATAAAAACTAACCAAAAAAGATAAAACTGAATCTCACTTGGTATCAAGAATTTTTTTATGGAAATCAACACTAACAATATCATGTACAATACTGGAATGGTGAATTTATTATATCAAGTTTATGACTATGTAAAGCAGATGAATGCGAAGATGAGCTAACTGATGTTATTTTAAAGTTTAACTACATATGAACTGATTTTTTTTAACTATGGTTACTATGTTAAGGATTGGTATAAAAACTCTTCTGAATACATTTTATCAGTTTACAATTTGTGTTATGCCAGTATTAACAGAACATTTTAATTACCAGTTCCTAAACAAAGAACTTTTCCATGTCTCTCTTGTCCTGTTTTCATCACTAGGGCAGCCAAAATTTTCCTTCCACCAAGATACTCAGGAACCTTCAGAACTTCAATATTGAAGATATGATGACTTAAAGACGCAACAACATCAAAAAGGGAACTATTTTCTGAAAGAGCTGATAAATCTTGTACCTAAAAATCAAAACATAAATTACAAAATGAGAACTATTATTTCATACAATGTCATCAATGAGATAAAGTACACAGTAATACTGGTTCTAATTACTACTTATTGGTCAACAACACAAAATGCTATCAAGTGGAGTTTATGTAGGGCAAAAGATGAGAAAGTTAATCTAACCTGTATTTTGTTATTCATATAATATAATCATTTACTTAAATATCAGGAAGTTATCGTACTGAATATTTAAATGTTCTTTACATTAATTATTTAACACCTTAGAAGTATAAGAACATCCTAAAATTTACAGACACAAAACAGAATTTCATACGTTTTACTTATTTTTTAAATTTTATTCAATAAGTCTTGGAGAGTTTTAAGGCCCCTCTAATGACAGATAAAGAAATATGAAACAAAATATATGTAACTGTTTTCAAAAGATGCTTCTCGTCCCCACTAATGTGTTAACAAAGAGGTAACTGTGTTCAGAGGATGCTTCTTGTCACCACTAATGTGTTAACAAATAGGTAACTGTGTTCAGAGGATGCTTCTTGTCACCACTAATGTGTTAACAAATAGGTAACTGTGTTCAGAAGATGTTTCTTGTTCCCACTAATGTATTAACAAATAGGTAACTGTGCTCAAAGAATATCTCTTGTTCCCCACTAATGTGTTAACAAATAGGTAACTGTGTTCAAAGAATACCTCTTGTTCCCAATTAATTAATGTATTAATAAACTGAACCATGTTATTACACTTGAAATATTTTAAGCAAATAATTGATTTAATTATATTTTGTGACAAAAAATTTTCTTTATATAGAAATTGGCTATTAGTTGTGAATATATTACAGGCAACATTATTATGAATCCAGTTTCATATTAACAAGTCCATTTAAGCTCATTAGCACAGCTCTAGACAGTTACACAAAACATTTGTAATACATTTTAGGAAACAATTTAAAGAGGATACACCAATTAGTGTAATTCTTCATTTGCATGAACAAACTAGGTTATTTTACATTCAATCCAGAATTTTATGTCACTCTCGTTGACAGAGTGAAAGTAACCTTACAAGGAAAAGTCTGCAGTATTTCAAAGGTAAGAATGTGTTTAACATTCATTTTAATTCTAAAAATACTTACATAAAAACACTTCATTGTGTGACTTATATATACCTTTGATAGAAAAAATTTAAAGCATTAAATTTTGACAGTTTTGTTATCATAAAAGATTTCATGATGATGTGTCCTTTATGCATTGCATACTTTTCCCTCTCCCATCCTCCACGTGACTTATTGTTTAAACTTTATTATAATTCTAAAAACTGTAAAATTCAAACCAGGTAGTCTTGCCTCTGAAATACTATAGGCCAGAATACCAACACCGAAAAAGGAGATAAAGAGAGAAAATACTAATGGAAGAGTTGTAAATCTACAAGATATAGGGAGAAGAAAATATTCTAAACTACACTAAAGACAACGTCAATCAGAGTCAGAGTAGAATCCATGACCATAAAGAAATGATTTCGAGGAATAAATGGAATGGACCAGCCTTATAGAAAGACTGAAAGAGTGAAAGATGACTTCTGTGGCATCTATAGATGGCAAATAGGACAGCTCTATACTCTGTAATAAAAACAGCAGACAAGTAATAATCATGAAATAAGAACATGAAAAATTAAGCATTCCATAGAAGAGTAGGAGAAAAACAAGAAACAGAATTTTTAAGGTAATATATTCTGATGAAAACACAACAAAATTGGTATACAGCCAGGGAAGATTGTCTGCAAGAAAGTGACAACGTTTGATCTACTCAACATGAGAATACATCTTCTCTAATAAAAGAACAATGCAGTAATATTATGTGGAAACATATGAGATTATGTGGGAGCTTCAAGGCTAGTGGTGAGTAAAACATTTTGCATATAGAGGGTAGCACTGAAATGGGAAAGCTAGACGTGAGATGGGGTTACATATCATATTGGATGAGTTTCTTCACCAAAGCAAAAAAAGACATAAGTGTATGTACACTTGAATACTTGCAGATACAGAAACTTATGAAGGAAAGTAAAGAAGAATGTAATAAATCTGTGAACCACAACATATCTGTTATATCCATTACAATTCACCCTATACCTAGGCTTATCAGGTGAAATGTATCCATAGAATTATGGATAAACCACCCAAGAGATGTAGCCAGATAAGTGGTAAACTAGAAATGAGTAAAAGACTGAATGGATGAAATGGTCAGAATAAAAGTCATCCATGTGGGTAAAGTTTCCAAAGAAGTTTTAAAATATCTGATATAAGTAGAAACATTTGGAGCAGTAAATAGTGTTGTCTGAATTCATAGCAACGTGCAAATGGGCATTCAAAATTTTTAGTCATGTTTGATGATCGTGTGAAAGCAAGCTGAACAAGGGAAAGTCTACAGTATTTCAGAGGTAAGACTACCTGATTTCAATAACCAGACTTAGAAACATTATCCACAAATAAGATATGAGATATAATTATATTTACTCTCACCTCTGCTGATTTGTTTTGGTTTGCTACCAAGCTACGCATGGCTAACTCGGCAGCACGAGTTCTAGCATCCTTTTTTGTTTTGTCCCAAGCTACTGCTATGATCACGTTGTCTAATATTGCTGCTGCTTGGAATCTGTGACAAATAGAAAACTAATACTTGATAACAAATTAAAGGTTGCTAAACCTTCTATGAACTGATAAAGTTGATCTCTGCTATTACTACAGTATAAACACAGATTTGCATATTTTATCTAAAGATTTAATTATTTTCTGTGAGATCTAAAATTTCAGCTCTCAAAACTATTTTATGATAATTACATGTCTGACCATAGCTTGACTTGGTTTTGGTCCGAGGGAAAATCAGAACACAGTTTGATTTGATCCTGGTCTGACTTGAGGGATGGTAAAACTTATGACTTATGGTCTGAGGGCAAATTAGACTATAGTCTCAAAGGGTTCTGATCCAAAGGATGATCAGTACACAGTTGACATAGTACTGATCTGAGATAGAGGATAGTACAAAAGTCTAACTTGATTCTGATCTGAGAAAAGATTAGACAAAGATTTGATTTGGTTCTGGTCTTAGAGAGAATCACACCACAGTCTCACTTGCTTATGTCTTGAGGGAGGATCAGACCATAGTGTGACTTAGTTCTATCTTCAGAAAGGATAAGACCACAGTCTGACTTTGTTCTGGCCATTGGTGTTGGTGGTGGTAATGGAGAATCAGAGCATAGTCTGACTTGGTTCTGTCTTGAGAAAGAATCAGACCACACTGAGTTATTTCTGTCTTCAGGGAGGATCAGAACATAGTCTGACTTGGTTCTGTTTTCAGGGAGGATCAGACCACAGTCTGACTTGGTTCTGCCTTCAGGGAGGATTATAAAAAGTGTTTATATCTTTCAAGAAACCATAAGTAATCACAAACAATTCACACTGAAAGGTTTAGGATTGTATTCAATCATACATAATAACCGTGATACCCAAGCACATGGTCAAACTCTTTGTCATTAAAAGGGTTTTTATTTCTATCTAGAGAAAAACACAAAGTTCAACTGTATTCTTACAACCAAAGCTTCATGAATAGCATAGCTGAAGAATAAATCACTTCCAAACAAAAACATACAAAGAATTTATTACAGTTAATCGTCCCCACTATCATAAAAATATCGTGACTTATCAAGAATTTTTTTTACAACTTGCTTTTTTCAAACTTACAAAGAGATACAGGTTTTTTATATATATATATGAATGTACAATATATGAGAAAAGCTTTTAAGACACTTTTATAGACTGAAAGCCTACACACAGATGTTTATAAAACACTTAATTATCACATATTTATATAATGTAACATAAAACCATTACAGCAAACTTATTACTGTACAGGATGTATCGGAAGACGATATTCATAGGATATATTAAGAATTTCTTGTTTTTATATTTAAAAAAAATGCGAATTCTTCATGGCTAATCATACCAATCACATGAAGATGAAACTTGTTTTGCTACAGGTTGATGGAAAAAGCCAGGGGGGCACAAGTCAGATTTTCCATGAAAGGCATCCTGAAAAGCCAATGCCAATGGATACATATTTCTAATACACCCTGTATAATTTTGATTGTTTTATAATAAAAGTTAATGTTATATTCACATAAGGCTTGAATTTCAGAATAACACTAATTGTATACATAGAGTATTCATCTCGTACCTGGGATTATGATGTGGTCCCTCAGACAGAATTATATCAACTTTAGCTTCAACTTTTTTTCCCTGTCCATACTCATGGAAAGCACTGATAGGATTTTTTACCAAGACACTAAAACTGGCACTGTTCAACATTACAGCTGGATCACTTGACACCTGATCAACTTTACAACTAACAGAGGAAGGATATGGTTTTTCCACCTGCAATTTTCCCACCAAACTCCTGGGGTCACCATAGGTAGTTTTCTCTGGTGGTTTTACATTTGGTTGTGAAATGTTTGTCCAGCATAATATACCTCTTCCTCTTCCTACTGGAGAGGAACTAATATGTTTTGTAACTTTGTTGTTTGGCAAAGACTGTGAAAATTTTTATCCTCATTAGATTGTTTAACTTCAGAAGAGTTGCTCGAAACTATTAACTGTTGAAATGCTGAGTCTACTTTAAGAAGTTCGTGTGGTGGCAAAGGGACTGTAAACTGTTTCCTGGTAGGCACTTCGGAAACCTGGTCATTCTTAAGTAGTTTCCACACTGGAGGACTCTCAACAGTCTTGATAATTTTACCTTGCTTTTCTAGCTGATATAATGTACGGTTAACATCTTTTTTTGTTCTGAAGCCCAAACATTTGGCTATATCTAAAGTTTTCTTCTCATGGTTTGGAGAATTTTCTAATTCCTTTAAAATAGCTTGACTTAGATCATATTCTTCAGTCCTTTGAGGTCTTAACATGTTTCCATAGAAATTCTACCTATTTATAAAACATAATTCTCACACACACTGGTAAAATACATTGTACAGTAATATATAAAAATATTTTTTGAAATTTTCAAGATACAAATTTTATGTCACTTTAAATTATATTCTTCAGAAAGTCTAATGCTCAAGTGTAACTTAAAAAAAAAGAAATATTTTTTTAAGAGCAGTAAACTTTAATTTCATTAAATGATTGATAAAAATACACATAATTGAAACATGAAAATCTCAAGCCTAGAAAAAAAATTGACATATCAGATGTTAGTAAACTTCATCTACAAATATCAACTTAAATAAAAAGGTTTTCTAAATACATGCAGTACTTAGAAACAATCTCTTTTTGTTGAATGAAATTAATTTATACAAATATGTATAAAAAAATTTATGAAAGCAAATTAATTATAAAAGAACAAAGTACTTGTATGACAATGTTTTAAAGTAGAATTTCTCTGGGAGTTTTTGTGATTGCAAGAAAAAGTCAACTTGTGGTTTTCATGATATAATTTCAATACAAAATAACTAAATACTTTAGTTTCTGGTATACTACATACTACTTAGTTAGTGACTTTTCTTTTATCTTTGCATGATACTTCAGAACAACCTTGTTGATTCTAATAAGCTCAAACCTTTTACACTTAAATAACAGACTTGGTTTTATACTGTTTACTACCAAAGTGGGTTCACAAGCAGCATCATACTGAGTAATCTTCTCTAGGCAAAGAACTGACCAAAATACTGGGTATAATCATTCACTTTGCAAGTAAAATACAAAAAAACAGCACTAATTTAAGGAATTAACTGTAACTTTGAGAGTATTTGTATGACTCATGTCACTTTGTAACCAACAATGCCTTAATCCAAAAGTAAATATGTACTTAAAAATCCAATAAGACATTTGGATACTTGGAGGTATCATACAAGGTTGATGTTCTTTAACTGCATTTCTGTCAACCAAATATGCTATTTTAATTGATGACTGGCATAGTTTCTTACCATATCAACAATATATGTATTCTATATACTAGGGCCTATCAAACAAGGAGCTACCAGCCTTAACATGTCTAATTATATTATTGAAACACACCTGTGATGAAAATATACAAGAAACTACTTTAAACTAAGCAGCATGTTGCCCCACATATCTGTTACACTTTATCTTAATCAAATGCATGGGTTGTTTGTGAGTTTCAAGACAGTTCACCGAGATTAATATTTGTGAATAACTAATTCTTAATTGTATTTGATCTGTTTTTTATTTTATTTTGTACATACATAAAGGAATGGAAATTAAAAATAATAAGATCTAAATGTAACCACACAAGTACAAATCATTTTTTTTATCTTTATGCTTGTAACTGTAAAAGCTTTGGTAAGCTGCTACATGTAGTAAGCATTTTTTTCTTAATTTCTTGACTGATACATTATGCAATAGTACCTAAAATGTTAGAAGTACTAATTAAAAACTTAAGAACATAGTCTGATTTGTTCTAAGTCATAAATGATTTGAGTTAACAAGTAAGATAGTTTGACAAGTAATAAATAAACACAGCTACAGTTTACTAAACTGTGTAAATATACAGAAATGTTTGATAATGTGGTTTATTGACAGTTTAAATCTAACTTTACAGATCTGAAAATTTATGTACTTTACCACAAAAGAAGATTTACTATTTCATTTCAATGTATAGTTGAATTACTCATGACACTGGTTTCTGAACTCTTCTTAAGAACGTGTAATTTCATGCTTCAATTTCTTTCCATCATAATTGAGCTTGATACTATGATAGTGATAGTTTTAATGTTATATCTGCATTAATTATTTAATACTAATAATACCAGTAGCAGTATTGTTATTTACTTTTCAGTTTTTATAAAAACTGTGGTATTTCAAACAGATTCCAAAAAAATTTATTTGTACATTGTAGACTTAATCCCATGTATACACTTTAATTCGGCTATATCATGTAATATAAAACAAATGCAGAAGATCTATAGCAAACATTTCCTGCCCAAACTTATTACAATATAGTGTTTTCAAGTGTTTACACTCACAAAAAAGAAGAAACCTATCATTCTATAGGTATTTGAGGAACTTGTAGCATTCGGCCACAATTTAATCCGTCCAGGGTCACTGATAAGCAGTGGAATTCTCCGAAACGAGTCTGGTCCACAGACACACCCCCAATGAAAGAATAGACCATTCAAAACTGTTACTTGTTGTTAAGCAAATGTTTAAACAACTCTATTCAGTTATTACAATATACACTATAGTATATTTATATATTGTATGTTACTCGTACTCAAGTTGTACTGGAGTTGAACGTAAAGTTGTAGGATTAGTATTACGTAATAGTATATGCCACCCTTAACGATAACCACCTTAAAGCTCTTTTAATGCAACTGAATATTATAAACCATTAAATTAAAATACTAATCGTGATAATAATAGTAAATTTACCCCGATTAACGTCATAAGTTAATTATACTTACAAGTCTGACATAGGGAGTTCTTTATGTTTACCCTTTGATTAGAAACTGTACAACTAGATGGCGGTATACAACTAATATTATGCTTATTTATTAGAATATTTCAATTAGATAGTTTTTCAGAATATGTAAGTTATAGAGCATACCGGCGAAATTAGACATTTTGACAATAAAGTTAAATGAAAAAAAAACTAATCTTTACTCGCCAGATAATATAAAAATAACTTTTTATTCCTGCCAACGTTTCGTCCTTACAAATTCATCAGGACTAGTAGTACAAGAACTGAGTTCCCTGATGAAATTGCAAGAACGAAACAATTAGATATATTTTTTTAAACTTTTACTATATTACTAGGACTATCTGCTAACTTAGAAGTAATGGACTAAAGGGGAGTTGGATTTGCTGTCACATTATAATGCCCCAACAGCTGAAAGGGCGAAAAAGAAGGTGACGTGATTCAAACCCGCGATCCGCATGTTGCGGGTCGAGCGCCCTAACCACCAAGCCATGCCAGGCCCAAGATAATTAATTATATAACACAAGAAAACTACTTTGAAATAATACATCAGAGAAATAATGAATAGTAGAGCCACGCTCATGAGATTTCTAAATTTCTGGATACTGACCAATACATTATAACAAGCTTTTACGTGAAATTTCTCTTCACTGATGTTCCTTTACAAAAAAACAATACAAATCTGTCTTAAATTATTTCCCAGTAATGATAGCCTGGAAGAAGCTAAGATTTTTGGATTGCTATTGTTGCGTCAGCGAGTCACATGACTAATGTGACGCCACGTTTCTAGAACTATCCTGTACCTTGGCGAATGCTCTAGTATTTACTAGATATAGGGTAGTCTGGTATATAAAAGAGAGTGACAACGTGACGGAATAATGTAATGTGTGTGTGAAGATAGTGAGTAATTGAACTGCAGTCAGAAGTATTATTGACGTTCGTTGATATAGCGTTTGTTTTAGCGCGAATATTGAAAATAAATGTATCGTAAAGTTATATTCGGAAAGAGTAAACCAGTTTTATTAAGTAAATACTTGTGTCGCTAAAGTTTCGTCGGAACGAAGTTATTTAACAAACGGAGACGTAACACTATGTTATACAAGTTCTCACGTATGCATCAGAATGTTGGACAATATCGCCAAGTATGGAAAAGAGGATTGAAGCTATTGAGTTATGGTTCTTAAGGTACATCTTGAAGGTAGGTTGGATAAATCACACCTTAAATGAAAATATTTTGTTAAGAGTAGGTTGCAGGAGGAAGCTGATGACTACAACAGAAAGTGACAGTTGGAGTTTTTCGGACACGTTACAAGGAGGGAAGAAACTAAAAAGAAAGAAAGAAGTTTGATTGTTTTAAGTTAAGCACAAAGATATACAATGGGCTATCTGTGCTCTGCCCACCACAGGTATCGAAACCCGGATTCTAGCATTGTAAGTCCGCAGACACACCGTTGTGCTGCTGGGGAGGGCAAGAAGTTTGACCATAACTGAAAATATTGAAGGAAGGAGAGACCGTGGAAGACAGAGGTTGACTTACGTCAAGTGTCTATCTGAATGGATGAATGTATTGACATTGGTAATTCTTTGTGCCTCAAGGAGAAGAGATCTGTGGAAGACCATGTTCACCAACTACCTGTTTGGATATGGTACCCAGAGGGAGAAGGAGAGAATGATAGCTTGAGTACTGGATTAAACATAAAGTACCTTACACAACTACTAAACCTAGCTTTAAAGAAAACAGTCAGTTGTATAAACAATTTTAGAATGACCTGACCATGTTTTCAAGCTATCATCATTAAACTTAGCCCAATTATAAGCAAAGGTCAGAGAAACAACTAATGATCATAGCATGTTTTCACCCAATTTGGAATCATTCATGTAGGTCTTTTCTTGATCATGTAGTTGTATTACCGAAGTTGTGCTTTGTTCTACACTATGTTGGAACTTAAATTTAAATTATGAGCTAAATGGAGCAATACTAATATGAACTTAATTGTATATATTTCTAATTATGGGAATACTTGGTTACTTTCAGTTGAATTATTGTCAGGAAACTTACTTTTTTATAATATATATGGTACGTTAAATATATGGATATTTTGGGCTGAGTATTCTTCCACAGTATATGTAGAATTCAGTTGACAAGCCTAACTATTTTTCTCTATTTTTATCTTAAGCACTATCAGTGTATAATTCACTTACGCTGCCTCGTGAGTTACAGTAGTTGTATTCTGAACTTCCGATACTCGTCTGCTTTTTCGTATTTAAGCCTACTTCCAATAAACGTCTCCTTTTCGCATATAGGTCTACTTCCATATAATCGTCTGCTTTTTGTCAAAGTCCACACAGGCAGGTTCAATTGCTTTAGAGACAAATTATTCTCCTAAAATGTCAGACAACTGTTAATCTCACTTTAACATATCAGTTGTTAGGCTATTCACTCTTACGACGGTTAACTTTACGTTTTCTAACCTTTCTCTGACCTAAACTCTTTTTTTCACTCAGTTTTACTTTTGGCTCTCTGGTCGCCACTATATATATATATCTCGATGAGGCGTTCTAGAAATTTCTGTAGCCTCGACATCAATATTTTACAAACACAAGTTCCAACAATGGTCTGCTTTTAACTTTCTTATTATGAAAAAACTAAACAGTCATGAAATATTAACTCACAAAATAACTTTATTAATACTACCTACACTAAACAGTCTTTTATGCCTGACAGTTATTAATACTATTAGAATTTATAGTAGGGCAACAAACTTAATATTGTTACAACAGCGGAAATCACGTAACGCTAGTAACACGTCATGATATTCTCAAAGGTTCGTGAATGCTCGAGTGGTTGCTAGATGTGCGGTATTCTTGTATATAAGTGCGCCAGACAATGAATCGAGA